TCTATACAGAAAAGCAAAGTCATTATAAATAACTGATAAAAAAATAAATCTCACAGATCTGAAGTGATATTCATTCTTATAAATATGAAATGAGTTTTTCAAATGAATCTTATATAACTTTGAGAAAGTGAATATATAAGATAAGTATTATAAACACTTCACTGAGTGTAAATAAGTAAGTAATCTTATATCATACTTTATACACTTCAGCTTACACTATCTCATATTGAATGAAGAACTTTTAACATCTTTCTATTTATAGATCTTTATTTATAATCTTACATCTGAGTTGAGAGTGAAATGAAAATACTTAATCTTATAATCAGACATGATGAAAGAAGTATACAATATTCTCATTATACAGAAACAAGTGAGTCAATTATAATAGAAAATACTGCAATCAAGTATATCTTAGTGAAGAATAGATAATCAGACTTCTATAACATAAGTTATACACTCAGATATAATAAATCTAGATCTGAATATTATCACTAAAGCATTGAATTCTCTGAAAAAGAGATCTTCTGAGTGAAAATCTTGATATTATAAGTATCAAGCTTGCTTTAACTGTAGATATTAAAATTATGATACAAAAGATTACACTCAGTATACATAGTCAAGAGAAGTAAGAGAGTTAAAAAACTAGCAGAATCAGTGAGCTCAGAGACACTCACTGATATTCTATGAAAAGTCTTTAAAGTGAAAAAGATGCTCATATTAGATGACTCTCTGAATTCTATAAATACAAAGAGAAAGCAGGCTTCTGACTGAGATGTAGATGAGGAAGTGAACACTCATCTCAATATCTTAAGACCTGAAATATTAATGTATAAGAAGCACTTGAGTAAGAATCAAGAGATGACTGCAAAAGTGTTAACAGATATAGAAGCTTCTACATAATATATTAGTAATTATATAATCTGAAGATTGAAAGAAGTCTGCTTAGTGAAGAATCTCTGATGTATAAGATTATCTGATAACTGATATTTGATATTATCTGTAAAAGTAAGAGTTCTCTTGCACTTCAGAAAATAATCTTGCTATATTTAAGTGTGAGAGCTGCAGAACATGAAATATGATCTTATTCTTAAACTTGATTGATTCTAAAGATTCAATCTGCAGATTCAATGATATATATATCATATATAATTGACTGATAGAAAGAAAATGATTCATATAATTCTATCAACTGATATAAGAAGAACATTTCACATCTCTGATATAGAAGGATTAAATCTGCTTACACATTAATAAGTAAAGAGAATAATTCATAAGATCTCATCTGAAAGCATTCTGTATATTATATAGAATCTGAAAGTGAAGAAAATCAAGATAAAGAATATGCAGAAGAATAAGTATATGAAGAAGCTTCTGAAGAAGTATGAAAAGATCTTCTGAACAGATCTTTCACTGAAATTATCATCAGAACAAGGATTCATACATGAGATTGACATGAGAGATATAAAACCAGTCAATCAGAATGCATACTCTCTGTCATAAACATATCTTGAAGAACAGAAGCATCAGATCACAGATCTTTTAGAATATGATCTCATATAACTCTCATCAAGCGCGTGAGACTTTTCAGTTCTATTTGTGAAAAAGATAAGTGAGAAGTGATAAATATGTATTGATTATCAAGCACTCAATAAGCTGATAATTAAGAATGAATATTCACTGTCACAGATTCAATAACAGTTGAATACAGTTGAAAACATCTGATATCTATTAAAGATCAATCTTCTCTCAGAATACTGACAGATCTGTGTAGATAAACTGTTAGTTCTGTGAACTGTGTTTAATATACAATGAGAGAAGTTTGAATTTCTAGTAATATTATTCAGTCTGATAAATGCATCTATCATCTTCTAAATAATGATGAATACAATTCTTTATAAACAGAATGAAATCTTATATCTCATATATCTTAATAACATTCTAGTCTTTTCAAACTTATACAATAAACATCTGAAGTATCTCAATGAAGTGCTTATAACTCTGACAGAGTATAAGCTCTATATTAAATCAATCAAGTGTGTGTTTGAAATGAAAGAGTTGAAGTTTATAGAATATGTAGTAAGTGATGACTGTATACATCTTATTCTGAAGAAATTGAATGTTATAGTGAATTAATCACAGCTGAGAAATGTATATTATATACAATAGTTTCTTGAGTTAGTCTTATATTACTGCAGATTTATCAAGGATTTTGCATGAATATCTGCATCACTCTCAGATCTCTTAAGAGAAACAGATGCAAATCTGTGAAAGAAGAAGTTTCATTCAATTATCTGAAATACTGTGTGTGAAGAGGCTTTTCTCACACTGAGAGAATGTGTAATAACATTCTCAGTGCTTATTCAATCAGATCATGATAAATCTTTCTATATTGAGATAGATGTATCTGAATGAGTTATCAGAGATGCTCTTCTACAGATGAGTAAGAACAGCAAGCTGCACTCAGTGATGTATAATAGTAGAAAACTATCAGACACTGAGCTCAATTACTCAGTGTATGAAAAGAAATTACTAGTGATTAAACACACACTGATATTATGAGATAGATATATTGATAACAGATATATAACAACAGTGATCATGAATTACAAAAGCCTTATCTATTTATAATTAATAATAAAATCTTTCAAACACTTAGTATGTTGAATCTCAGAGTTTTAAGTGTATAATCTTCATATCAAATACTGAAAGAGATTGAACACAGTGATGCCTGATATAATCAGTCACAGACTCAATTTCATGAGTAAGAATTCTATGAATCAGGCATAAGAGACATTTGTGTTAAATGTGCTAAGAGAATGCAAGAAATCAGAATGAGTGAACATCATGATCTCTTACTTAAAGAATGACAAGGTGTTGAATAACAAGTATCTCATGAAAGTAGTAGAAGAGATGCTTTCAAACTTCAAGCTGAGAAAATTGAAAAATGATGTTATACTTTACTGTGATCTAGAATATGCAGAAGCTCTCTATCTAGAATCTTCATTTAAACATGACTTAGTAACTCACATGTACAAGGAATTTAGTCACTTAGAAAGCTCTGAACTCATGAGTGTACTTGAATCAAGAGTATACTGATCACACATGACTGAGAACATTCAGGTGTATGCTCACAAGTGCCTGAATTGTCAGATTGTGAAAGAATTCAAGAAAGAGTTAGAACATGAGAAAGTACAACATCAGATAAAGTGTACAATACAATCATTTAAATGATGAGAAGTGAACCTCATAGACATATTACTGTGAACATCAAATGAAAATTGATGAATAATCACTGCTATTGATTACACTACTGACTGACCAGTTGTGAAAGAAGTTTCAGAGATAACAGAGAAGATGATGATAAAGTTTCTACATAATGAGATCTATGTTAACTATGAAATGCCACATGAGATTCTAACTGATAACAGTATAAATCTCATAGAAGAAGTGATGAGACATTTCATAAGTCAGTTACAGATAAGATATTATAGAACAATATCATATCATCTACAAATGAATTAGAAGATAAAACACTTGAATAGAATCTTGAGCAACATGCTGATGAAATATCTAGTGAGCAAGCCTATGAGACTATGAAATGAATATCTCAGACAGGTGCTACTGGTCACACGGATTTGACAGTATGCAGTCTTCAAGTATTCATCATTCTACCTGTTGTATGAATTGCATCCGCGCATTCTGAAGAATGCTTCAGAAAAGGTGAGAAAGAAAACAGTAGTTACAGACACAGCAGTAGCAGTTGCAGATGCAACAGTTGCAGACACAGAATCAAGATTGAAAGAGATCAGCCACACACATGCAAAAGCTAACAAGTTACTTCTGAACTGAGCAATTCAATTGAAAAGAATATGAGACTCACTTGTTAAGAAATTGAGTCTCAAGATAAGAATGTGAGTTCTCATATATAATAAGAGTTCTGAGAAGTTTCAACCTAGATGGTTTGAGTCATATAAAATACTTAAATCACATTCTCTGAGAATATACACATTGAAAGAATCAGAGGGATGAGTCTTATATAACTTAATTAATAATTCATGACTTATGAAAGCAAAGATACAAGACCTGAGTAAAATATGATTATTCACAGCACTATTGTCAGTGTTGAAAAAGAAAAGACTTATAATTAAAAAGTCTCACAAAGTAAGAGAAATCATAGACACTTATAAATCAGATAATCTCACTTATTCTAATCTTTTCACAATTATAAGAAAAGAATGAGAAGCAATGAAGAAATTAAATAAATATCACACTTCAATAAGTGATAAGACTATAGCTGATCATATAATAACACACTACAGACAGCAGATGTAATACAGTAAAGAGCAGTCTCAGAGTGATAGACTTATATATAAGTCAGATCACAGAAGAAAAAGAAATTCAGAGTTAAATTTAACTGTTTACATCAGTTCAATCACAGAGATCACAGAGAATGAACTATCTGAAACATTCATGAATATGTGAGATTAAGTCATCTCAATCTCTGAAGATGCTCAGAGATTGAGTGAGATTAGTTTCAATGAGTCATTCACTGTAGTGATCTGAGTGAGTGAAGAGAGACAGTATAATAGATGAGACAGAATTATAAAAGATGAAAGCTGCTGAACCTAGTCACTGAACACTGTATTATATAGAGATTGTGTAAGAGTAGTGACTAGCAGATAAAGAAAAAGTGTAAGAAAAGAAATAATGAATTGATTATCAACTGTAAGAGTTGACTGCAAAAGACAAATGTTATCATATACATCTTATTCATTTTCATACATCATATATTTAATCTATTTTCAATGCTACATCATCTGAAAAACATCAAAAATAAAGAAAATCTCAAAATTCAAGATCTGCAAGGGATTTGAGAGTTATAAGCCACTCTTACAACAATATTATACATATCTCTGATTTCTCTATCACTCTGTGTACAACATTAATGTCATTTATCACAAGATTGACTGAAATGCTAATATAGAAATGTGTACACATACATATAGAGAAATTGAAGAAGAGTACAGAACTCACAGAATCAGAAGTCAAGAGAGAAAAAGTGAAGACAGAAGAAATAGAAGAGAGAGACACAGAACTGAATAAATAACAGAAGTTATTCAGAGTCAAACACTTACAATTCAGTGTGCACACAGTCTTCTCTGCAGAAGAGAGAGAGAAAGTAACAGAAGAAGCTTGAGAGTGAGAGAGAATAGTCTCAGCAGTGTTATTATCTTCAATTAAAATGACCTCTGACATCAGAGCAACTAAGAACTATTGTTAGTGTACAAAACTGCAAAAGCAGAGATAACAATTATCAAATAAACACTCACTGATCTTAGAATTGTACACATAATTACAATATACATGAGACTTCTCAGGAAGAGAGAGTGAGACACAGACAAATGCAGAAAGCAGAACACAGCATACAAACAGCTCATTCTTATAATGACATCTTAGACAAGGTGTATGAGTCTCATATCTGCAGGTGTAAAAGAGTATAATATCTGCATTTCTGTTTCTGAAAACACAGATATCTTTTATCTGTATCACAAAGTCAGATAACAGATGCTAGAGAATAGACTGATACAGATCTATCATTCTGAAGAAATTTATTAGAGCAGATATCTCTGTAATATTAAACTTTATAGTTATAAAAAGCTTCTTGATATCTGTGAATATTACAACTTCATGCACAGTAAAACTCATAACAATTTCTTCTAAGAATAGAAAAATCAGTGTCAGAAAGAAAAGATGAAAAAAGCAAAGACTTATAATCTCAATACTATTAAAGAGAGAAGTGATTCTCTGATATAAATGAATAATTGCTTCATTATAAATATTTAAAATAAATATAATAATCAGCATCTGTGACTGAGCTTTAAATAGTCATATTATACACAGTCTTCATACAATAAATCATTCTGAGAGTCAGTAAGAAGAGTGAAAGTATACACACTGAAAGACATGATTTATTAAGTCTATATAACATCTTCTTAAAATGAGAAGAGCTGGTCATGAAAGCAGAGACAGTAAAACCAGAAGTGACAGAAGTGAGAGTCATGAGAACAGAGGTAGTGAGAGTGGGAGAACCAGACACAGAAACAGGTGTAGAAGATTGAGAGAAAGTGGCAGAGAAAGAAACAGAGAGAGCAGAGAGAGATGTAGAAGACTCAGTCATATATAATATAAGTAATTTCTTTATTATCATGTTCTTTAAGTTCTTAATCAATGATTTAACATTGAGTTTACTATCATTGATGAATGCAGATCTGTCAATATGTGAAGATTCTACATGAATAAAAACAACATATCAGCATCTGTGTTCATGCAAAATTGTGCCAGAAAACATGATCAGAAATCCACTGAGAAGAGAAACAGTTGAGAGTGTATAAGAAGGTGAAGAGAGTGTATGAGAAGATGAAGAAGATGTGTCATTTATGATAGTACATTCTGACAATAGTTAGAAGATAAACAAGTTCTGATCACATTTTATAATACATTACATGTACTGCTAACAAACTGCTCAGTATGAGCACTATGATGATACTTGTTATGAAAACAAGAGGCCATTGTCAGAAACATGTACAATGTAATAGATAAACAGATAGAAAGAGTTGAACAGAAGAAGAAGTAGAAATCTTGAATGATAATAGTGTTTAATGATGATGATAATAAAGAAGATAATTGAAGAATGAGAAAAGTTAGTAAATAAGTGATATAATATAGTGAAACTTTCTTTGTGAGAATGTATACAGAACACTAGCTGAATCAGAAATAGATTATATAATTGTGAAATGCTAGTGATGAGCTAATCTGCATGAAGCTAGAATGTATGATATGATCACATGAGTGTGACTGAAACTGGTGAGAGAGGATGTGATTCAGAAGAATGTACAACTGTCAGATAATAACACAGCCGCTTCTGAACTACTAGCATATGAATGTAAAGGGGGCCATAGCGGCCACTAATTAATTTAGCGTACGAGATTCAATATATAAGAAGCCGGCGTACGCCTGTAATCGTACGCTGGCTTAAGCAACCTTTGAATCACATGTATCAAATACTGTTGCTGAGGTATCTTTTTGTATTGTTCTTGCCGGAGATGGGCCAGATTGAGAGGGGTAGTACAAGGGTGAGACTTGGTGTTGATGTCTAGATACACTGAAGACAGACTGTGAAGGTTGCACTTCAGAAGTGTCTGTTGGTTATGTGCTTGATATTATCACTGAGGTATCTTTTTGTATTTTTCTGCTGGGGATGGGCCAGATTGGGAAGGGCGGTACGAGGGTGGGACTTGGCGTTGGTGTTTTGAAACATCAAAGATGGACAGGGTTTTCGCGGAGGTTGCTCCTCAGATATTTCCACAATTACAGATCGGGGATCTTCCAAAATCGAGAAGATTGGCGCATATGGCTAGGTCTCTTCACCTTACAATTTGTATGGCAATCTGGCCCGGGGTTGTGGTGTGGTAGGGGAGAATGGGGGATAATCCCACACAGGAGTTTCGAACAACATCTGATTCATGTTTGGCTGGATAACTCCACCACCACACGGGGTATGCGGTCGGCGATGGGGTCAAAATGCTCGTATGATCGAGGGCTTTTTGATGGATCTATCGGCGGGTTCTTATTCGAAAAATCGAGCGAGTTCGTGGTGGTTGCTTGTAGTAGAGTGATGTGCAGAAGCAAAAGAAGAAACAAAGAAGAAAGAAGAAGAAGAAACAATGAATGAAATGTCTGAACACATTACATCCTCAACTGTCAACACGCGATTGGTAGAAAATGGGTTGTTTGCTTGTTGATTGTGCTGATCAAACCGCTCATTTGTTGAATGCTCTCAGAAGCTTCTCACACATGCCAGAGACTTCTCTGCAGACTGAACTGCCTTCATGCTGCCATGTGACAAATAAAGAGATCTATGCATTGTACAGGGTGCTAGTCTGTAAGAGAAATTCCTGACTCTCACTTAGATAAACATCTACTGAGCTTTATTAATCAATCAACTATTCTTAATCTTACTTTCTGCGTATTTGATGTTACATTTTAATTGATTTCCCCTGTTTAACATCAGAATATAAGAATATTATTGTGCTCTTCACTGTACTAATCACTTGTTGATGTGTCTCTTCACATCTCAATGTACTGAGCTCTATTGAAGAGGGATGAAACTCTCAAATGAATCTGAATACTACATCTTAGAGAGATGAGTGTTAAGTGCTGATAAGTTCTCAGAATTCTGAGAAATCACTAAAGAGTTAATATTTCTAGAAAACATTCTTTATTCTCTGAAGATTTATAAAAATTGAGATATAGTAATTTCTATCCTATACTTTGAGAACATAGTAGTCATCACAGCTTTTGATAAAACCTGGTGACATTTCTCAGAGATTATAGAGAGCAGATTTTCACTGAAGCGGTGATTTCTCTTATGAAGTTAACAGAATGATGATCTTCAAAGGCTTTCTCTATGAAACTAGGTGAGTGATGCTGATTCATCAAAGCTGTGAGTTCCCTCACAGAGCCAGCAAAGTGAGTGGTGAAAGACAGAGCCTCTTGTGATGTCAGCATTCTTGAGAGAGGTGATCCCTCAAGAGATGTCACAATTTTGAACAAAAAAGCCACGAAGACAGAGCTCATGCGGTGTCAGCACCCTTGAGGGAGGCAATCCCTTAAAGGTTACCACAACTTTGAACAAAAAGGCCATAAAGACAAAGCCTCATACGGTGTCGGCACTCTTAGAGGAGGTGAACCCTTAAGAAATGCCGCAATTTAAGTGAAAGGGCCATCATAGTAAAGTTCTTTGAGAGATGTCATAACTTCGGTGAAAAGACTGTAAAAATGAAGATTCTTAAAGAGTCAGCATTCATTGAGCATGTCAAAATACTGAATGAAAAGCCACAGAAATGAAGCCCTTGACAGATGCTATATTTTTTGAGTGAAAGATCACAAAGAATGAAGATTCTTAAGACACATTAACTTTTGCTGAAAGACTAGAATACTTAAAACTTTTTATTAGTTCTTGAGAAGTCATGATTTCTAGTTGAGCAGGTGTCATAGGTTTGAGTATGTAGTGATTTCATTTTATAAGTGAATAGATCATCAATTCAGTGACTGTATCACAATATGCATGAGTAAGTACAGTGACTAGTTAAGTTTACATTTCAAAACAGGCAAAGGCTCTGCTTAGTAATTTTATTGAATTCATTGTAATTTACAATAAATAAAATTTTTCATCTAACTATTCACTCTTATTCTTGAGTTGCTCTTGTTTTCCTCTCTTTCTCTCTTTCTTCCTCTTAGACTGGCCGCCGGGACCATGAATTTCACATTTGATCTCATTTGATCTGGTCCCATACATTTCTTAGCGTGAATTCTGCTGGGACTGACTATCAAAAAAACATGTAAAGTGACTATATATCAGATCTTAAAATGAAATCATGACTTGAAAAAAATGAGAAAGTGATCTCATTTAATCTCATTTAGTCTCATTCTTGATATAAAGTTACTATTTTTAGATATTTTAAGGTTTTTTTTAGACTATTTTTAATTTTTTAAAAAGTAATGCTTTTTGATAACACTTAAATAAGATTTAAAGTAATTTAAAGCAATAAAAATAATTTAAATTGAGAAGTGAAAATTATAATCTCATTTGAAAAATGTGATAAGAGTAGACAGTAAGTCTCACTGAAACAGTATGAGACTACTATCTAATGTTAAAACAGTTGAATTGGTAATGAAACTATTAAAAAATCTGATTCTGATCTCAGACACGGTTACACGGTCAGTCTACTTTCTCTCTCTGAACTTCAGATATTTTGTGTAGTTCTCGCATGTTGTTTGAAATGAAGAAGAGTAATGCTTCTGCTCTTTCTGTAAGAGTGTGTCTTTCCGAGGCTGTACAGAATATGGCACTCACTATATCTTTATCTGGTGATGAAAAGTGACTGCTCAAAGTATCAGACTTGTTAAAATTAATTATAAAGTATCAATTATCTTCATGAATAAGACAATAGACATCTTTGCAGCAACAGTTATTAAAGTAGCTATACAGTATATGCTGAAGTGTGTCTTTTCATTGATAACACATCTGCACAAGACTACTGCACTCAGTTCATGACTTCTTAACCTGCTTTGAGTTTGATGATTGTATAATATAGAATTTAATTTCAGAGAAGATAAAGAATCTGAGACTTGATAATTATCACTTAACACTAAGAAAAATGATCTCAATTTATAGCTATGAGTGAGTCTTGTCTAGAAATAGAGTAGTCTTTATAGATACTTTTTAAAAGTGTGTACTTCTGTCAAATATCATTTCAAGTGATCAGTCATTTTGCTGCAGTACTTGCAGGCTTGAGTCACAATTTGCAATCTGAAACAGTAAGAAGTCCCGCTTCTCGCGGATTCTTTACCTCTATTTCTATCTCTCATGTAATTAATAGAATTAGCAGCTCTTGACTACACACAACTATATAGACTGAAGTTCACAAATACTATTCACAACTGAGCTTGAATGCTATTATACATTTAATCTCTACATT